GTGAACCGAGGGAGTCCAGGGTCCTCTCGGTTCTCAGGCCCCAGTCTCTGCATTCATAGGCACGGAGGCAGCGGGCTCCTTCTCCTAGAAGGGAAACCTCTTAAACATGCAGCGTCAGGCCAAGGGAAAGACAGCACTGAAGGGGGGGGGACCCAAAACAACAGAGGAGGAATTCATGGGCACTTCCAGGGGATGCGTGACACCCAGCCTCTCCTCACCACAGACACTGGGGTGCTCAGGGGCGTCTCAGTGGCTGAGCCCCAGGGGAGCACTCAAGGCTGTTTTCTGGTATTTGTTCTGGGTTCTGCTATAAGCGTTGCCTGGCTCTCCTTTCTAAACTTTCAAGTATTTGTTCATTTAATAATTCCTTCTGTCTTGTTAGGATGCAGCCCAAAGCCCTGACCCAATGCCGCACAGATACCAATATCATGTTCTTGGGCTTCCCAGTCTGCAGAACCATGAGCCAAATAAACCTCTATTCCTGACAAATTACCTGATCTCAGGTATTGGGTTACAGCAACAGAAAATAAGGCTTGGTGCTCACTACTTGTTGTAATCAGGGGTTACAAGGAGAACAATTGCATATGGGACCCGTAATTTATAGTATTATTTATAATCACCCAAGGAAGATGCAGGAAATCTGTCCACAACACTAAAGACCTAGATAACCCAGCTAAGAGCCTGGATCCCACAGCAATCACTGCATGAATTCAGCTGAAAACCCAGAGTCCACAACAATGACCCATGCAAGTCCATCCCGCAGATCTGTGCTGGGAAGGCCCAGAATCAGTGGTGGAAGCTAGAAAGTCCATGCCAGCGGGGTGAAGGATCTGTGCTAGGAAGCTGTGGGTTCTGTACTGGAGCCAAGAGGTGACACTCAAAATAAGGACCAGGGCTCCCCTGGAAGGCACCACAGCCATCCTCAGTGACAATGAGGTCCTGAGCCCCTCTAATGCTGAGTTCATATCAGGAAGCCAGCGTGACAGCTTCTCCTGGAGATTAAGCAGCACACATCTTCCCCTCCTGAGCCAGGAAGTAATGCTCAGTGTAAAGACCAGAGCTCCCCAAATTGAACCGCAGCCATTCTCAGTGACAAGGCCCTGCACTCCTCCAGTGGTAACAGCTGCGTTCATATCAGGGGAGCCAGCATGACAAGCTCCTCCAGGAGAACCACCAGCTCCAAACAACAACATTTAGGAGAACCCACAGTGCCACTCTTCCTCTCCAGGTCTCCTTTCTATGCTGGTAACAGTCCTCAGGTGGGCCATCCGCACTCAGCACCACGCTGATTCAGTTCAGCTGGTGTTAAGTTGACCACCAGTTTCCAGTCCACCACAGTGCTTATTCTGGCCACTGACTTGGGCATCAAGAGAAAACTGATTGGTTGCTGCAAAGGGATGGCTGAGCTCCCGGTATCCCAAGGGGGCTGAACCCGGACTCCAGATGAACCACCCTCTCCTGAGGTCTAAGCAGGAAGGAGCCTGCGGACAGTGTCAGGAAAGTCAGCCTTGCGCCAGGCCTCAGGCCAGCAGTTGGAGACTCAAATGCCTGCCGTGGCCAGGAAACTGTCACATGAGTGGCGCGGCAGCTGTGTGGCCTCTTGGCCTGTGGCTTTCTCACATCGGACAGGCATGGATTTACAGGGAAGATTTCTTGTTGCATGTAAAACAAAGACTCCATTCTCTTCTCTGCCTCCTCTCCCCTCGAGTGGGGGACTCCAAAGCGTGGGCTTGGTACCATTTCTGTTCCAGCACAACAGCACCCTTTGCTTACTGCCCCCCTCTTCTCCTCCTTCTCCTCCTCCTCACTGGCTTCCAAACACTGGTACCAGTGTCAGCTGCTGGTGTCATTCACGCTAAGATGCCTGATGTTCAAGAGGAATCAGAAATTTGCTTTTTTCTTTAAGCCAACCACCTATAATCTCAGCATTCAGGAGGCTGAGGCAGGAGGATTGCTGCAAGTTCAAGGCCAGTTCAAGGCCAGCCTAAACTGTTGTAGAAAAGTGGATGCACCTTGGGAACATAATGTTAAGTGAAGAAAATCAGACGCATAAGCATAATTACTGCATGGCCTTCTCTTATGTAAGAAATGCAAAATGTGAAGAGCAAACTACAAGATAGCTAATAGGAAAGAGACATCCTCAAATGCGAGGGGGATCAAGAGATGGAGAGAAGTGAGGCAAGGGGATGAAAAACGGAATGAATATGTGCTATGGCCATGTACCACCTCCACAAAAGGAATGAAGCATCATGTACTGCAAACATGCACAAATAAAATCAAGCAAAACAGAAATTTTTGTTTTGTTTTGTTTTGGCTTTTTGAGACAGAGTCTCACTACGCAGGCTAGCCTTGATCCTTCTGCCTCAGCCTGCTGAGTACTGGGATTACAGGCGTGCACCACCACACTCAGAAATATGGTTTTGATATCAAATCCCCTCACTGAGAACTGGCTTCTAATGACGATCATTGGAAAACAAGCTCTGTGTAGGCTGCGTACCATGGACCCGGTTGGTCCCCAGCTAGTAGAGCTCAGGGCTACATGTGTACCTTGACCTGGCCCCAGATATACCCCTAAGTCCCTGGGTACCCCGCTTCTCAGCAATGCTGCTGTCTTCCTGTCCTGTGGGAGGTGGCGGAACGCACCCCTCCAGCATCACCCCCTCCTTTCTCCTCCTCCTCATCCTCTCCCCAATTCAGACTTTCTGGGCAGCCCTCTCCTGCTAAGCCTTTACTGCCTGCTTGTTCTTCCAATAAATAGCCCAGCAGCCCGCAGCAAAGGATTTACTGGCTATGGGGGGATTGCACCTCCAGGGAGCCTGGTTACTGCTGCCAGCTCTGAGCAGCTGTTTCAGAAACACTCCTTGGAGAATGGCCGTACATTCCAGGCTCTGGGAGACTAGGATGGGTATGGATCAAGTTTACAGTGCCCAGGGGCTCCTCCTGCAGCAGCATGGGTGTGGGGGCCGCAGTGACCGCAAGGCCGCTGTCCCTTCCCGCCTCCTCTTGCCTTCTGCCCTGCAGCTCAGTGAGGCTGGAGAGAAGGTCCGGTGGAGCCCTCAGCTGAGTCTGGACGCTTTCCTGCTATGCGCTATGCGCCTCACCCACCAGCGTCCTGTCTGCTGCCTGACTTTCAACCCTAAAGCCCCCGTACTATAGAATGCAGTCTTGAAAATCCCACTGCTTGGGAGGAAAACACGCTGAGACCACCCACACAAATGGTTATTTTTGTGAAGAGATCCTTAATGTGGGTCAAGGCAAAGCAGGCCTTCTCAGACCCTTTAGGAGGCTCCCCAGGGGCAGCCTTGGACCACGACCTCTCCCAGCATACACTGGACAATGTGCCACTGGGCCAGGGTGGCCAGGCCTGCCCTGCCACAGATCCCGGGGCCCTGCCCATCACTCAGCTTCTCCGTGGGCCCAAGTGACTCGCTATCACGGAGCCCCTCGAGGGATTTCCACCCCTCCCCAGGGTAGTTGGGTAGTTGGGGTGCAGAGAAGGAAAGGTGAGGGGCCCAGGGGTATGAGAGGGAGGTGGAGGAGGAAAGGGGGCTTCCGGCAGATTGGGGTTGTGGGGTGGTAAGTGGGGTGTCTGGCTCCTTCACTCTGTCATTAGGGCAGTCTGGTTCTCCAGGGCATCATTTGTGGCAGGAAGCCCTGCCCGGAAGCTAAGCTGACCGTAACTCATCCCCACAGCAGAGGGGACGGTATTCAGCCCAGGCTGTCACTGGGCGGCTGTGAATATTTTGAGGTTTGGGGGAGAAATGGTTTGGATTTCCAAGACCTAGACTGGGTGCAAAGGCAGAGACCCCTAGAGTTGGGAGTCAGGGGTCCCATTCCCTCACTTCAGCCCTCCCCGTGTTGTCACACTCCCCACTGGAAGCATTGTCCCCAGGGCTCAGCACTCCTCTGCCTCTGCCCCGTGGCTGCTGTCCCTGCCTCCACGCCCTGTGCCCACAGAGCTGCACCAGCTCCATCTCCTGCATGCATCCTGAACAAACTCTCCTCCCCGCTGCCCCCGGAAATGCCTGTCCCCTGCAGGCAGGGCTTGGATGGTCCTAAAAGCAATGGTTCCAGCCAGTCATGGACTGAAACTTCCAACACTGTGAGCCCAAATAAACCTTTTTTCTTTATAAGATCATTAGCTCAGATATTTGTTATAGTAATGGGGAGGTGAGTGATACCAGGCTGAAATCTAATTCACACTAAATGCCTATGACTGACAGAGCAATGTAATTGCTATTTGAAAGGACTCCATCTGATTTCTTGGTTGAAAATGTCTTTGGCAATCATCTTGTATGGTTTTCAAGATTTTACAGAAGGCTGAATGAAGTCAAGGGGTGAAGCCAGTCAATAGGCCTGCACAGTTGTTCCAGTGATGGGGTGTTAGTTTTCCATCTGACTTCTGAACCCCTAAAGGGGCTTTTTTTGGAAACACTAGTTATAAAATACCTATACTCCTTTATTCCAAAAGAAAACTGGCAGCCAGGACTGGTGGTATATGCCTTTAATCCTAGCACTCAGGAGGCTGAGGCAGGAGGATCATCCTGAGTTCAAGACCAGCCTGGGCTATAGAGTGAGCCCTTGTATCATAAAATAACAAGAAACAGGGGCCCAGATAACGGAAGGGTCTTTTCCAAGGTCCCAGGGTCAGATGGTGGCAGAGCTGGGATTTGTGCCTGGGCAGCTTGCCTGACGCTCCTGACCCACCCTGTGAGACCTGAATGTTTACTGCCTCTCACATGTTGTCCTGCTTGTTGGCTCCTCCAGGCAGTCACCTCTGGCCCTGCCCTCCTGGACCCATACAGCACGTTCCTCATGCCCCCTGCGTGTGCCCATTCTTCTCTTGTGCCTGTTACCCCTTAGGAGTGGCCCCCTGCCCCTGCTCTCCTGCATGCTGGAAACTGCAACTTTCCTGTTTGCTATTAATGTTTTTTTCCCATTATTAATGTTTTTATGACTCATTGGCGGCTGAGAACAAATGGAAAAGAAACGCTGCGAAGTTTGCTCGTTGCATGTTTAATTTTTAATTAAATAAGTCAAGTGAGCCATTAGGCGATGAGTTCACATTCTATTCGGCAAAGCAGACCCTGAGCGCTGCTGGCGGCCAGCTCTCTCAGAAGGGCAGCCCTGGTGTTGCCCCGAGACTGCAGGTCATGGCCACCACATGGACATCTGGGGACAAAGGTGTGGGAGCCGCGTGGGATGGTGCCAGAGGCAGAGAATGAGCTGTGCAGACACACATGTGGACACGTATGTACATGGCATGCATGGATGCCACAGAGAGGATCATGTGGCTACTTTTAAAACATGGCCCAGAGCCCAGGCTTTGCAGGACCCAGGAGGGAGCAGGGCATCCAGGAGCACCAGGCCTGGAATACACAGAAGAGATGGAGACCCTGGGGTGCTCCGGCCAAGGCCAAGCTGGAGGAAGCAGGCTGCTCGGGTCATCCGGCTACAATGTGAGCCAGGCTCAGAAGGTGGTGCCAGGTCTGTACTCTTGGAAACGTATCACAAATTAGCACCTTCCCCCATTGTTACAGGGTCCCCAAGGTCACAGGGGCAAAGGGATTGGAAGCTCTTAAATCGCCAGTTCTGCTTCATGCTTTTGAGGCAGAGAGTCGCATCCACCCTGCTACCATGGGAAGTTGGCCGGGGATGTGGCTTCTCTCTACCGTCTTGCTGGACTGTGAAGTAGGGGTCTTCTCAAACACAGCCACCACCTTGGGGCCCCTGATTTCACCACATTCCTTCAGCTTGAACAGAGCAACAGCCATCTCACAGCCCTTCTCTCCCTGCCTCAGTGCCCACCCTGTGAGCCCTGGACTCACTTTCAGCCTTTGGCTGGCATGGGGAGGGTACTGCCCTGGGTTCACAGCCACCTGCTGTTCCTCTGTTGTCCTTCAAAATCCAGTTCTCCAGGAACAGGTCCTCTAGTCATGGTAACGGCTCTGGGCTGGTAGAGGCTTTTAGGGTTCAGACCAGGCCATCTCCCCCCTCGTCTCCACCCTCCCACCTGACCAGGTCTTTCTCTGACCTCCGGGTGCTGGCCATCATCAAGGGCAGCAGAGATGCGGGAATGGGGGCCACTGTGTGAGGCCTGATGCCACCCTGACCACCTCCTCCCTGCCAGCTCGGTGCTGAAACCCACGTGCCTGACTCCCACCACGTCCCTGGCGTGGAAAGCCAGTCGCTACCCCCTCATTGCCCCCTGCCCAGCCCCAAGGGTTCCTGTGGCAACACTGAGCCCTAGGGCATGTTTCAAAGTTGCCCCCACCTGCCCGCTTGAGTTGTCCTGGCTTAGACACCCGGCAAAGGCAGTACAGCACCAAGGGTCACCATGTCACATCTTCAGATCAAGAGAGAAACCAAGAGGCACCTCAAACCACATGCTGTGCTTCTGCCCTTCATCCCCTTGGAACCGTCTTTGGGTGTCCTTAGGAGAATGGGGAGAATGGTCTCTAGGGTTATTTGTCGCTCTTGGTTTGGGTACAGCTTTGAGTTTCTTTGAATGACATTTTCTGTCTCTTCACAAAATAAATAAAGTCACTTGCAGAGGCAGGGAAGAAGAAGCCATTTGCTGGCCAATCAGGAGGGGCCCAAGGAAGAACACTGCAGGGAGCAGGCAGAGGTGGCTGCCCCTGCCCAGTTCCTTTCACCCCCACGAGTCGGAAAAGGAGAGACGGGGTGGGAGGTGTTGGGGAGGAAGGATCGACATTCCTGGGCCTGTCAGAACCATTCTGGCCCACTTGGCCCCCGGTCAAACTCCCAGAGCCAGTGTTCCTTTGAACCCAAATGAGAGCCAGCTCCACCCTGGTGCCAGGGCCCAGAACTCACACTGGCAGACAATAACAAGTCCCATAAGGTTCCAGCATCCTCACTCCTGGAGTCACCAGCTTCCCCCAGTACACTTGTCCCTTGCTTATTCATGGCAGCACTCTGGGGACACTTGCTGCTTGGCTGCGAGGAAATGTAGCAGGGCCTGGAAAGGACTTGTCACATCCTGCTTCTGCTCCTCAGGGGGTGTGCAAGAGGGCTGGTGGTTTCCGAGACGCGTTCCATGTGGGGCTCCCATGCACAGATCCGTCGGAGCTGGAGGCTGCCACGTGGCCACCTAGGCTGAGATCCTCCTGGGAAGCCTGCCCTCCAGTCTCCACTCCCTACTGGGGCCGGCTCCCTGACGGTTTCCCCAGGTCCTCCAGGCTCTCAGGCTCAACTATTCCCATAGAAACAAAAGGGAAAACAGCCAGCAAAGGAGAAAGACACCAAGCTATAAATAACCCAAAAAACCCCAAGTAAAACGCCCAGCCTACCCCAATTGAGCAATACTGTGCTTTTCCCAGAATCCTTCTGAGCATTGGCATAACCATGGAGACCAATTGGCTGACCCTGGCCACCTCCGGAGAAAGGCAGGCTTCCCAGGGGGGCGCAGCCTGATGTGACTCACATCCCAGAACACTCTGAATCTGTTATTCTGGTCCCAGATGAGGCCCGGCTGGCTGGAAAAGGCCTGACCATTGAGCTGTCTTTTGCCTCCAGCGAACAAGCTACTTCTGTCAGTTAGGCCCAAGGCCACTTTCAAATACAGACAAGCTCCAGGGCAGCTTGCCAGGCCCTCGCGTGAGGTGGGAACATCGGGCCTGCCAGTCCAAGGATGTGGAAGGGTCAGAGGAGGTAGCCCTGAGAATCCCAGATGGGCAAAGTGTGTTTCCACCATTCAGCCCCAACCCTAGTCAGGGAATCTGTTTCCTTCTCCTGCCCCTCCAGTTAATCCTAAAAATGTGATTAAAGGCTCTTTAGATGTGTGACACAGAAAAAACCTGTGAGCATTATGGGGAGCTTCTCTGTACACACGTGTGTACAGACTTGTGTTTTCATGTTCTTCTGTCTATGCGTGGTGTGTATGTGTCTTTTTTTTTTTTTTTTGTCTTTTTCATTTTTATTGGTACCAGGGATCGAACTCACGACCACACACTTGCAAGGCAGGCGCTTATGCCACTGAGCTAAATCCCCAGCCCCTGTGTATGTGTCTTTATGCACACATGTGTCCTGTGGCTCCACTCTAGGCTGGTGTTCACTGGTACCCAGCACTGCTGTCCCATTTATTAAAATGCCAGATCAATTTGTAGTGGTTGGTAAAGAACCACTGTTCCCGGATGAGCTTTAAATGTCTCCCCCCCAACCTGGGCTGTCCTGTTCTGTCCCCAAGCAGCTGCCCAGATTCCCGGCTTCTCCACAGTCTGGCAGGAAACGGTTAACACTGAGTAGAGAAGGAGATCCCAGCGGCTGGTCAGGGCCTAGGCCCCTTCTGGTTGTTAAGTATTTGGACTCCAGCCCATAGAGCCTCCAGGCATCAGTGTGTGTGTGTGTGTGTGTGTGTGTGTGTGTGTGTGTGTGAGAGAGAGAGAGAGAGAGAAAGAGAGAGAGAAGGAGACAGAGAGACAGAGAGACAGCAGGATGAGGCTTGTTAATGGGCCAGAGCCTGTCTGGTCCTGCTGCAGAGACTGGCGCACCTCAGATCTGGGTAGCCCTCAAGGGGACAGGGCCCCCATTCAGCAAGAAACCCCAGGGCCTGCGCTGCCCGGGGAAGCTGGTAGCTGGGCGCCTCTGGCTGCCTGTTCTTGGGGCAGCTACCACTCACTGTCTTCTGCCAGAGCTGCATCGCCCGCTGGCCTGGGTGCAAAGAAAGCAGGGCGGGCCTTTCACGAGGAGGGGCACGTAGGGCTGAGGGGCCCTACGTGACCCAGAAGGTGCCCCGCTCCTCCAGCAGGCTGATGGAGCGATTGGTGAGGGAAGCAGCGTCCTTGGCCAGCTTGTAGCCGAAGAGGCGCATGGTGGACGCACAGGCAGCCTGCACCACCTGGGCCAGCTTGAAGGGCATGCTGAAGCGCCACTTCTCGAACTGCTCCGACGAGTTCTTCTGCGTGGAGTAGATGCCGCTGCTGTCCAGGGCCGCCTGGGTGTTCTTCTGGATCCACTCCTCCACCTGCGGGGTCAGGGGGATGCCGGCGAAGCGGTACATCTCGCGCGCCTTCTGCAGCGGGCTGCGCGCCACGTCCTCGTAGCGCACCAGCATGTAGCGGCCGCGCAGCCAGGCGGGCTGGCGCAGACCCAGCTCGGCCGACAGGCGGATGCTCTCGCAGTTCCCCCGCAGCCGCTGCACCTCCTCCTCCTGCAGCTGGTCCTGCCCCTCGGCCAGCCACTTCTTCCAGGTCTCGTACTTGCCAGCGAAGGCCACTATGCGCGAGGCCAGCACTGCACGGGGGTCGCGCACCAGCTGGATGACGCGCAGGTCCAGCCGGGGGTCCTCGGCCAGCGGCTTCAGGAATTCCAGCTGCCGGATGCGCACAGCCTTGAGGGCCATGTGGTCCTTGCGGCGACAGGCCTCGGCGGCCAGCGTCACGTTGAGGGGCCCGCAGCGGCGGTCCTTGCAGTGATACTTCTCGAAGACCTTCTTGACGAAGGGCGTGCACACCGGGTCCTCGCAGAGCGAGCGGCTGGAGCCCCGGCGGAACATGAACTGGGTCAGGTGGGCCTCGGGCACCGGGCTGATGAAGGGCTCGAGCACGTACAGGTCGCACAGGAAGAGCTGCTGCAGCACGTCCCGGTACACCAGGGCCGAGCCCGCCGCGCTGGAGCCCCGCTGCTCGAAGGCCACCGTGCGCTCGATGTGCCACAGCGGCTCGAAGAGGTAGAAGATGTTCCCCTGCTGGTTGAAGAACTCGCCCACAAAGGAGGAGCCCGTGCGCGTGGTGGCCATGAGCAGCACGTGGCGTCGCTGCTGGCGTGGGGCGGAGGCCGGCTGGGATGGCTCCGCCGCCACCGGGGCCTCCTCCTCCTCTGGCCCGGGCTCCGGCTCGGTTCTCTCGGCCTTGGACGCTGGTTCCACCCCCAGCTGCAGGCTGAGGTTGTGCAGGCGGCTCTGCAGCTGGGAGAAGGCCGAATCCAGCTCACTCAGGGACAAGAGCGACGCGTTCTCAGCCAGGATCAGGGCTGGGTCGGTGCCGTTGGCATCGGCCAGGGACTGGGGGATCTGCTTCAGTCTGTGTGAGACCCTGTGGAGGACAAAGGGAGACCGGGGTCAGCATCTGACTCAGGGGACAAACAGTCTTCCAAGCTGGTCACCACCCAGGCTGGGTTTCCCCTGGAGCAGAGCTGGGGACGAGGACTGGCGTCTAAATCAATCACTTGTAAGGCGATCACGGAAGAACTGGGAAATGTGAGGGACAGCCATACTCTGGCGTTTTGAGCTGGCCAGAGCTCACAGGAAAGAGTGCTTGGTGTAGAGGTGCAGGCATTTGCGGTGAGACTGGGTGACTCCATGCTGAGGGACCAGACTGGGCACTGTCACTGTCTGCCACACAGACCAACCCTTAACCTATCCATCTATGCAGGGCTTGTCCCTAGGAGATCAGATAGGCTACTTCAGAGTAGCCTATTTGAGAGACATTGCCCGGGAGTGGGGCAGTACACAACCTAGGCACCTGCACATGGCATCCCTACTCACCAGACTCTCCACACTAGGACCCTGCCTTCACACAGACTCACCCTCATCCATAACACCAAGACCTGTACAGGGTATATGATGCTAATGTGACCCACCATATGGGACCAGGAGGTCAATTAATAAGCAAATACCAGGCATCAGTCACCTACCATGTCCCATTTCTCGGTTAGTCTTTCTAATGAGGCAGATCCCAGGATTAGCCAGATTTGCAGAAGAGAAGCCAGAGACTCAGAAAGGTAAGATATCCTGCTCTCCTGAGCTCTCTGCTGGAAGCTCTCGGCCCAGGGCAGCCCCAGCTGCCTGAGTCCCGAGCCCAAGCCTCACTGAAGGGCAGTCACTTGAGAGGGGTGTAGGCCACGCCATACCAGGCACATGGGAGGGGCACCCCCACAGTCCACAGGGAGCCCTGAGTCTCCTCTGTCCATAGAAGGCCCCCTTGCTGAGGGAGAATTGTTCTGAGCCCCTCACCTGGAGATGATTTTATTCTCCTTTTCAATGAAGATGAAAACGATCACCACAAAGGCCAGGAAGAGTGCATATTTGCTCCTCATCCTCAGGCTGTGCGCAAAGTCCCAGCAGTCCTGAGCCACAGCGAGTCCTTTCTCCATGGGGCCGGGGTTGTAGGGCTTTCTGGCTGCTGTGGGCACTCAGCTCAGCAGGGTCACTTGGCCTGGCCTGTCCTCTGCGGGTGGAGTCACCCTTGTCCTGTGGAGAGACCGACCGTCAGGACACCGGGTCTGCAGATGAGGTACAGAGGGCGCCTGTCCACCAGGCTTTTAGGTCCCAGCCCCCGCTAGTGTCAGGACCCCAGGCCTACTCTTAAGGCAGACTATGCACCAGGAGTTTGAGGTGCCTATTTTGGGGGGAGGCATGAGACAGATTTCAGGCTGCCTCAGACACAGCAATCCTCCTGCCTCAGTCTCTCGAGTGCTGGGATTACAGGCATGGGCCAGATAACTGACTTCCTTATTTTGTTTTACAGGAGCACCAAAGCGAGTCTTTATCTTAGCTTGACTTTAAAGCAATATGCCACGCCATGTGGGCAGCAGCCATGGGCTCTCAGGTCTCTGGGTTGCTTGGAGAGGGCAGAGGGTAGCTCAGTGGTTGAGCACTTGCCTAGCGTGCTCGAGGCTCTGGGCTCTGTCCCCAGCATCCGAAGTGAGAACAAAAAGCCAAAGCAAGAGGGCGACCCATCTGCCAGGCCTGGGTTTGTGTAATGTACCCCAGGACTTCAGACTAGGACAAGATTGCCTGGCGACACGTGTCTCAGAAGGTATCCCCTCATCGTTCAGTGACACACGACTCAGACGGAAAGAATGCCCCTGACAGCAGAAAGGTTTGTAACAGCAAGAGACTAAAAACAACTACATGTGGAATGGCGGGCGTCCACGCAGCGGTTAATTAGGTGGCCACAAAGGAAGAGGGGGGAGTGCACTTGAATAATCCACAAAACAGAGTTCTTGAAAAGTACGATGCAAACACGGCGCTGACGAAGGAGATGGAGGGCAGGGATGCTCAAACTCTGCACTGTGGCCCCTCCAGCTGGAAAGTCCATCCTGTTCCACTAGGTGTCCTGGGCCTTTCTGAGGACCCCCGCCAGCAGCCCCTCACCCCCAGCCGTGACAATCAGAATGTCTCAGGACGCTGTGAATGGCCTCTGGTGCAGCGAGGAGCCAAAGCATCTCAGGCTGATAATCTCTGAGGCCAGCATGACAACAGAGCTTCTCTCTTCCCGTCTCTCAGGCCTTTTCCTGTGCATGTATTTCTGAGCGCTGACCGGGGCCAGCCTCCATCCTAGGCCCTGGGATGTATCAGAGAACAATAGAACAAGCGGGCATGGCTGGCGCCCTCATGGGTCACAGTGTGGACTCGAGGGCTGCCTGCAATGAGACAGGTGGCTGGCTTTCCCTGAGCAGTGCCACACTAAACCCCTTACTGAAGCCCCAGGGGTAGCAACGGGCCCATTTCACAGATGAGGAGACTGAGATTGAGAGTGGCTAAGGCATCTGCCCGAGGTTCCTCCAGCAGCAAACATCAAACTCCCTCTCAGTATATTGAAGTATACTCCCTCTTGAAGACCAGGGCCCCTTAGAATACACAGGCAGAGGACTCTCCAGCTGTGGTTTGTCCAGCCCCTTCTCCCTGACCAAGAGTGACAACTGTGCTGCTTGGGCTTGAGTGTGCAGAATGCCCAATGGACCCCCTTCCCTCATGCACCCCATTTAGCCCGTGGTGCCACATGAGGCTGCCTGTCTCATTCAGGAGTAAAAACACCACATCTGTAGGCTGTGCGCTGCTAAGACCCTGACTTTCTGCCCTCCCAGCTCTTGGGTGAAGGCTGCCAATGTCTAATGATGTTGGGGAAACCAAGGCACTGGTGCAGAAGTCCACGTTTCTAGTACTTCTGGAGTCACTGTCATGCTGTGCAGAACCTACAGAGGTGACTTAACCTCTCTGGGCTTCAGTTTGTTCCCTGTAACATGGAAAGGTCGTCCCTACCACATAAGGTTACCGCAAGGAACACATGTGGAGCCTGACAAACGTCTGTTAAATAAGAGCGAGAAGGCAGGTGAGGCAGGGGAGTGCCAGGGCCTTCTCCCTTCTGGGTCTGACAACCTGGAGGAGGAGGCACCGTGCGGCCTGGATGACAATTCCCCACTCCCTCCCTTCCTAGTTCGGAGCTGCTGTCCCAGCCGCCTCACCCCAGAACGCAGCATTCCTGAGATCCTTCCCCACGTTGCCCTAAAAGGAAACACCGAGGCTGAAAAGCGCTGGCAGGAAACGAGGGCAGGCTGCTGGCTGGGCCCGGCCCTGGAAGGCTGCTCCTGCTTTGCTCCAGAGCCCAGGCAGGGAGAAGGGGTCTGCAGATTCCAGCAGGGATGCAGCCCAGAAGTGGGAGAAGGACAGGTGCCAGGAGCCCACTGGGTCATGAGGGAGGGGGACAGGGCCCAGCCGGGTCACCTGGCTGAGGACTTACCAGAACCTCCTCAAACAGAGGCCATGCAAGGAGCCGGCTGGGCATCTGCGACCCTGGAGGAACGCATGTCCACCTCCCTTCCAAGCCTCCGAGCAACATAGCCCCGTCCACCTCACCTGCTGTCTCCACCTCCTCCCGCTGGCTGTGCAACAGCCCAGGGGAAGGTGGCGTCCCCTCCCTGGGTGCCAGGGGTGACACACTGGCCAGGCCAGTGACAGCGGCCAGGCCAGTGACAGCGGCCAGGCCAGTGACAGCGGCCAGCCCAGCTCTGCCTGCTGGGAACAAACAGCAGAGGTGGTGGAGGAGCCCAAGCACTGAGTTCCCTCAGGGCAGCACCCACTGGCGAGAGCCTGCCACATGCCAGCCTGGCTGACCACAAGAGTCACTTGCGGGAGCCACGCCCAGCCCATCCTCCAGGAGCCAGCACTGGGCTGGGGCCCGTTCTACTCACCTCTGTAATATCACATGGCTCTCAAAGGCATTGTTCTCCCCTGTCCCTCCAGCCTGGCCTCTCCACCTGGCTTCGCCTGCCCTGCAGCAGTGTCCACAGATCCAAGAGGCTGCGGCATGGCCACCTCTTTGGAACCCCGTGTGGGCTCAACGCCACCCCGTTCACCTCTCCGGGTCCTGGTCCTTCGCAGAGGTTTTATTTTTCCTCACCCCCACCCCCCTCAGTTTCTGAGCTCTTCCTGCCTCAGCAGCAGCCCGGGAGCACTGATCTGATTGGTCCCTGGCCTGGAGCTGCGGGCGGCTCCTCGGCACAGCTGCCCTGAGGCTCTTCCAGCGCTCCTGGGTCTCCTAACGCTCAGGACTCAGCTCCAGAAGTCCCTGCTCCGAGTCTCCCCGGCCACTAGCCTCATGCCGATGCCTCCCCCACCCCACTCCCCTCTGCATCCTGCCTTGTTTCCTGCCGGGATGCACAGGGCTTCTCTCATCCACAGGAATGTCCACTCCACCACTGTGTTCCCAGGGCCGGGAACTGGGTGCCACAGGGAGCAGAATGAATGAATGAATGCATGCATGCCTTTCCCAAAACATTTAACCCAACGGAAAACATGAGGGCGTGGTGGTGCACCCTGTAATCCCAGCACTTGGGAGGCTGAGGCAGTGCCTGCCTGGGCTACACAGTGAGTTGAAGCCTGAGCTACAGACCCTGCCTTAACAAGACCTGCCTTAAAAAATCAACCCCGCCCCCCAAAAAAAGAGAGAGACAAGATGAAGAGGAAGACGAAACTGCAGCCATCTGTGGGCATGCGGACCATGTGCACATGCTGGAAGCTTGTGCTTCCCGTGCACACTACAGTGTGTGCAGAATCGTGTGCCAGACACACTGTGATGGACACCTGCGGCGCTGGGTGCGCACTATGGTAGAACTTTCCAGTCTCTCCCATCAGCTCCCAGGTGTTTGGTTCTGGCGCCTCACAGCTGTGCCCTACTGGAGGGAAGGGTGCCAGGAGAAGGGGATGGCAGGGAAGGAAGAGAAGGCTGGGGCCTGACAGCTGCTGTGTGTAGGCACCCGCTTCCCTTCGCTGTCCCCTAGGGGTCCTTCTGCTCGGCCTCCTTAGGACTTGGCAAGGGGCCTCCTTGGTCAGCCACAGAGCAAGCTTTCCCCTCCTACGGCCCCACATGGACGGCTGCCCAGTCCTGCCGCCCCTCGGGAAGGCGGGTGAGCAGCGCAGCCAGGAAGGGGGCTGGGAGGGAGCCCTGATAAGAGGCTGGGCCTCGCCAGGTCTTGTATCAGGCTGCAAAACTCCACTCCCCTCACTTGCTTCCTGGGGCCAAGAGCACAGAGGGGATGGGGACTCAGACCCAGCTTCCTGGACAGGCAGCAGGAGGGGCTGCACAGAAAGGGACCCAGACCAGGAAGAGCTGGCGGGAAGAGGATCTGTGGCCGGAGAATCCCACACTGGAGGAGCTTGGAGCCTTCTGGGGGCAGCGGGAGGCTGCCCCATCACACCCGGGAAGGGGCTCTGTGAGCTGTCCCTACGTCCCTGAAGAGGAGACGCAAGGCAGGCAAGGACACCCCAAGTTGCTGGCAGAGTAGGGCAGGGAGCAGGAGTGCAGATGGTGGCCTGTCCAGGAGAGGATTGGGGACATCCAGCGATGGCGTGGGAGGGCCACGCTCCCATCTCAAGCTTAGTTCAGATGGAAGAATAAATGTCCAGAGGCTGCTGATGACCCAGTGAGGGGAGAAGGGCAGGAATGAAGGAACAAGGAAAGGAAAGGAAGGCCTGGCTGCTGCCACCACACCGTAGGGTCCAAGCACTGGGGTGCCAGCTTCTCCTCCCAAGAATGAACCCCTGTAAGCCAGGGCTGATGGTGCACACCATCACCCTAGGAGGCTGAGACAGGAGGATTGCAAGTCTGAGCTCAGCCTGGGGTACTTAAGCCTAACTCTTTGCAAAACCCTGTTTTAAAATAGAAAACTAAAAGGCCAGAGACATAGCTCAGTGTGAAGGTCCTGGGTTCACACGAGCCCATCGCTCGCTCCCTTATGCCAACTCCAGCCTCGGCTGCTGAGGCAGCGGCAGGCAAAGGTGGGGTCTGTCACCCAGGCGTCAGAGGCCTCTGCTCCTCCCTGGGACCCCGGGCACAGGTGGGCGGTGGGCCGAGGGTCGGCCTGGCTGGGGTGGGCTCCAGACCTGGCCTGTCATGCCTGCGGGAGTCGCGCAGGATAGGAGGGGAAGATCAGAGGAGGCTGCTGCTTTGAAAGCATTCGCTCAGCCCGAGTTTCCAGAGGCCAGGCGTCCCTTTTCTCTCGGGCTGTTTTCCTTTCCTCCTAAATTCCTGAGCGGCTTAAAGATACCATATGTCCAGAAACTCCAAAAGTTACATCAAAGACTTCCCTTTCTTTCCCTCCCTCCCTCTCTCTCTTTTTTTTTTTTGAGACAGGGTATCACTATGTAGCCCAGGCTGGCCTCAAACTCACCTTGATTCTCCTGCCTCAACTTCCCAAGTGCTGGGATTACACAGTGCGCCACCACACCCAGCAAAGACTTTCTTTAAAAAAAAAAAAAAGTTTGACTATTTGGTCCATATCACTAAACTTCAAACACAGAGCAACGCTTTGTATTTTAGCCAAGTTGTAGAGTCAGCTTTTGCTTTGGCCCATCAGTGGGCAACCTGGTTCTAAAGAAACAGACACTCAGTAAATAATAAATCACAAGAATGAACAGCCTAGATCTTCATCATAAAGGTGCTCCGTCTCAGACCACGGTGCCACTCAGCCCTCACGCACCCACACTGAGTATGTATTTATCTAATGCAGCCTAACAAGCCCAGCCCCTCCCAACAGGTCCAAAAATTCTTTTCCAGGATGAGAGTTAGGAACCTGCCCAGACTGTTAAGAAGCCTGGGGCCAGAGCCAGGGCCAGGGCCAGACTTGCTGGGTTCAAAACCTAGCCCTGTCACTTCCGGGTATTTTCAAACCTCAGTTTCCTCATCTGTAAAATGGGGACGCTATAGCTTCTACTCCATAGAGCTGCTGTAAGGTTGAATGAGCTAACAGATGTGTGGTGCAGAGACTGCTCCAGAGCCTGGAAGAACCTGCCCAGAAAGCTGGGTAAGGTAGGAGGCTGAGGCTGGAGGATTGTTGAGTTCGAGCACAGCCTAGGCTACATAGTGAGTTCAAGGCTGGCCTGACCTACACAGCAAGACTCCGTCTCAAAACACAAACAAACAAAAAACCCCAAAAAACCAAACCTGATTTGAGTCCCTATAATTACTTTTGAAGCACCTTGGACCCCATCTGGTGACAGAAGCACGTGGGACGCATACTCTTTCTGTACCCACAGTAGATGTGGTCACTTTCCACAGAGACCCAGAAAACAGGCCGGCATCCCTGTCTGTGAGGGCGCTTCCGGTACCCTCTACCCTCAAGTGTAGGCCCTGGTTCCGGCTGGGGTGAGGCTGGCACTCAGCACTCAGCACTCAGCACTCAACAGGCACCCAGGCAGGAGTCTGGACACCAAGATCCACGGGCAGCAGTATGCACCCAGCCCTGGAAATGCAACACACAGAGAGCAAGCAGAATGTCCCCCGTGAGGGGCAGACTCATGCAGAGCTATGGGGACAGTGTTTTATATTTTACACTCTTTGTGTTTTTGACAACCTCACTGTGCCTCTATAAGAATCTTTAAAACTTAATCTGCTTAGGAACTGCCGTGAAAAATGCATGGATGTGGGGCAGACCTGGAGGCTGAGGCCGGAGGCTCGCTTGTGTAATGGGTTTCAGTTTTGCACGATGAAAGGAGCTCTGGGGATGGACAGTGATGTGGACATACTTCATGCCACTGAATTATGCACTTAAAATGGTAAACTTTATGTGTTTTTGCCCAGTGAAATAAATAAACAACTTCCTACCATGGGCAGGAGGTAAGAGGAACAGATGATTCTACGAGGCTCCCTGAGCCTGGTGCATGGCACAGGGCACAGTAAACATCTGTGAAGCAAATGAAAGGACTTATACATTGTCCTGAATGGGCAGTTCTCACCTCTCATGTGCTCGTCTTCTCTCCCCAGAGCTAGTGGAGTACTGAGCGCTTGGTTAATGCTCCGCCAAAGACAGGATGTGGGCAGTGAGCTGATGCATCTCCCAGACAGATGTTCATGTCCTCCCACTGCACCAAAAATCCAGACACATCAGTTCCTTCAAAAAGATGTGCACACGTGCACCCAGCCAGGTGTGTTGGTGCATGCCTGTAATCCCAGCACTCGGAGGCTGAGACAGAAGGGTGCCGTGAGTTTGAGAGCACCCTCAGCTACCTAGAGAGTTCAAGGCAAGCCTGGACGATGTGGTGAGGCCCTGTTTCAAAACAAACAAGTGAAAAACAATAAACACACAAACACCGACCCACAGAAAGAGACTCCGTCAGCAGTGATGATGTTGATAAAGTTTTGGGCTTGCTTTCACCGAGTCTTTGAGGCCCTATGAACCTGAACCTCTCCAAGTGTGGTTTTCTCATCTGTGAGATGTGCACTTGGCTGGTGCCCTCTGAACACAGTGCTCCTGAGGAATTCTGGGAAGCTACACCAGCCCAGAAGATGTCTCACCTGAGCCTATGGTGTGCAAAGTGGTGCAGGCTTTTGCTGTGGTCCTGATTCGGTGGCCTGCACATTGGTAAGTACTGGGATGGGGGTGTTCGAGTGCCCCCTAAAACACCAGGACAAATTAATGGCAGTGGCCCAACCTGACCACCAGCTGTCTCTCAGAGAGTGCTACCACACAGCCAGATTCCAGGTGGCATTTGGCCCTGGGCATCTCTTTCTGTCCTTTACCTTGTTTAGGGACAAACTTATTGTCCCAGAATGGCAGCCCAAGGCCTGGGAGCAGCTGGGGTCCCAGAAATGCCACAGCTGGACGGACTTCCACCCAAGCAGCTCACATAGCAGCCGGCTCTCCAGTTTCACTGGCACCAGATTGAACACTCTTCTTTGGGAAGGCCTCGGCTATTTCTGATTTTGGAATGTTTGGGTGTACCTAGTGAGGTGTCTTGGGGGTGACACCCAAGTCGAAATATAAAATGCATTTCTTTCCCACACATGTCATATGCATAAAGCTTACAGGTGATTTTATGTAGTATTTTTAATAACTTTGTGCATGCAAAGAAGTTTCGTGTAGTGGAATTTTCCATGTGTGTGTCACATTGGTGGTGAAAGTTTCACAAGAATTTTCCACGTGTGTGTCATGTCAGTGTTAAAAGTTTGACATCTGGGAGTATTTCAGAGTTTGGACTTTTAGATCAGGTTGTTCAACCCGTATTTTTCTCCACTATGCGCCTCTGAGAGTTTCATTCTGAGCGGCTCAGATGAAATTTGTCCTGTATCCTACCTCATTAATCACAAGAAAACATGGTTTTGGTAAAATGTTAGGACTGGGAAAGGCTTGGAAGTTTTTAAATTCATTCTTCCTACTTTTCATTATAGAAATGCGGGCTCCAAGAGGTGTTTGACCGAAGTTTAAACTGGATGGTGACAAAACCTAAACAATAACCAGGGTTTCCTGCCTCCTAGATTAGGGATGCCCTTGGCCAGCCTTATTCTCCTGCTGCATATGGCTCTGCCTACTCAGGGTCTTTCAGCATAGGGACAGCAGATACATGGCACACATCCCACCACTTGGCATCCTATGCCTGTGGCAGACATCACTAATCAATCACTGTCTTCCTTTCAGTTGAGGCCAGATGAGCTTTATACACCTTCTCAGTGCAACCCACTGGAACTGGCATAGGAGACTGCAAAGCGTGTTTTTTGGCTACCACACAAATTTCTCACCATGCCTTACTTCAGTATCCCACTACGTCACATCATACCACGACACCAGTCTGAATTCCTACTCTTCTCTCCCTTCCTTACATAAACCTTTATTTCAAGCACAGAGGCCTTGTGTCTTCAGCCTTCAAGCCCCTTTACTGAGCAAACACCACAGATCACATTAATTATGAGGTTAAAAATAGTTAAGGTATCAAAGTGCACAAATTTTGCTTTTTTGAAAAAAGCAGCAATGAAGCCAAGCGTCTCCTTATCTCTTACCCTCCTCTGCCCATGGTTAGCTCCTGCTTTCACAATCCAGAAGAACTGGGGTTACAGTGAGCTGGGAGACTATAGAGAAAACCACTGCCAATTCATTCCACAGCACAGCTGGCAAAGGTCTTGACACAGCTTACTTTATCTTATTATCCACAACCCTTGATGTGTTTTCATGAGTATCAGCCAAAAGACAAAAGTTGGGGGCTTCCTCACAAAACATTTTTGGTTTGGTGAAAATTCGGGCAAGGCTACTAGGCTGTGCCGTGGATACACCCCAGGGGACAGGAAAAGGTGGGGACCGAATGCTAACCAGTGTACATCTCAGAACCATGCAACGCCATTTTTTCTCGTACTCAACTAGCAAAGAACAAAGCACGGGAGATTACGCTGTGCGGTGAAGTTCCGGGGGCTGAGGTGCTTGTCCAGTGCCCTTGTGTCCTTCCACACTGCTGGCCCTTCCTGCAGTTACACTCAAGCCCTGTGACTGGCTCTGGTCAGTGGGATCGGGGGGAGAGTGAGATGAGCCACCTCAGGACCTGGTCCCTAGATCCCTCCTCGAGGCTGTCTTCCTCCTCTCCCCACACGTTCCAGCTGGCTTGATCCTACTTGGAAGCAGCAGGACCCATTGATGCTGCTTGGATGTCCACCCAATCTGCTTCAGATGTGCCGCAGGAGCAGAGCAAGCCATGGCTAGGTTTGGTCACTGAGCTTTGGGTCTCACAGTTTTTGCCACAGAGCCCATCCTGTCCTGACTGATACATAAGAGCCTCCCATCTTGCTCCTGGGAGCTCCTGGTCTCTTTTTCCAATAAAGTTTCGTGAGATATCAGTTTAAGCTACAGATACTCTTTGCTAGAGTCTGAATATGTCCTTCCAAAATCCTTATATGGAAATATACCTCCTAATGCACTGCTTTAAGAAGTGGGAACTCTGCTTCTGTATTAGTTAAACTGCTTTTTAGTGCATTTCACCAGGGATTTGATAACTGCTAAGTATTGAAGAATGTTCTGACCTTGGAGAGGATTGAAACTGCTTCATATTGTGACCCTAAATTTTATATTTGCTACATTCCTTAATAAATATATTATGACCAGGGGAAAAAAGGAAATGGGGACTTTGGAAAGTGTCAAGGTCATGCCTAAAGCCCCAATATAGTACAAAAGATCCGTCACAGCAGGTTCACCCTCTACTGGGTGAGAACACGGCAGGAGGGCGCCATCTTGGAAACAGACAGTGAGCCCTCGTTAGGTGCTGAATCTGCTGCCAATTGAACTTTAAACTTTCCAACCTCTAAAACTATGCATGGTAAGTTTTTATGATTGATAAATTTCCCTGTCTATGGTATTTTGTTATAGCAGCCCCACAGACGAACATACGCTTTGCCGCAGCAATTCTAACTCTAGGAATTAATCTTGCAGGCCAATTTGCACAGGAACACACACAAAGTAAACTTGATATAACCACAAAGGGCTAGCCATGACCTTAATGCATGTTCACTGGGGAAAACAGACCGTTAGATAAATGGATACACATAAGTGCATTTATTGGTGATTTTTTAATGATTAAAAAGAAAAAAGTAAAGAGGCAGATCTGCACGGGCTGATATGAAGTGTGAGTAAAGATCTGAGTGATAAAACCAGGGGCAAAGACATCTGTGGTACGCCACCAAATGTACAAAAAATGGTGCAGACACAAATGTTGCCACATACTTGGGATTTCTCTAGAGACAGAAACAAATTGGCAAGAGTCATTGAGGAAATAGGGGAAAATGTTTCCATGTTTGTTTCACCCTGGATACATAAGTCAGGTTGCTCCAGGGATCACATATAAGTATCCATTTAAAACCAGCTCTCAGCTGGGCGTGGCAGCACCTGCCTGTCTTCCTACCACTCTGGGAAGCTGAGGCAGGAGGATAAAAAATTTCAGCCTAGCCTGGGTAAGTCAGCAATTTAGTGAGACCCTGTCTTTAAAAAAAAAAAGTAGAAAAGGTTGGGGATGTAATTCAGTAAGAAGGCTCTAGCATCAACCTCTAATACCAATGAACCAATCAATCAAAATAAAATCAGCTCCCCTATAATATAGATTCCTACTCTACGCTAAAAAAGGCATCTCAGCACACACAATTATTGATACACAGTGAATTCTGAGGGAGGTGGAAAGCCAACTGCAAAAGGTTACATTCCGCATAATTCCATTTACAGAGTATTTCTGAAATGGCAGATGTGCATGGACGGACAGCAGCTGAGGCTGGAGCGCAGCCAGTGTAGCTACTAAAGGGCGAGGCCGTGGTGGCCAGGAAGCCTTCTGTACTGTACTGAGGTCAATATCTTAGATGCAATATTAGCCTCGGGTTCTGCAAGATGTTACCACAGGGGGAAATTGGGTAATGGGTTTATGTATTTCCTTTCCATTTTTTTTTTTTCCCACTGCTGAATCAAACCCCAGGCTTCATGCATGCTAGGCAAGTGCTGTACCACTGAGCTGAACTCCCAGCCTTATAAAGGGATTGAATCCAGAGGTTTCACTTTAAGCTACATTCCCAACTTTTAAATTTTTTAATTTTATTTTTGAGACAGTGTCTTGCTAACTTGGACTTAGAATCCTCCTGCCTCAGCCTCCCAGAGGGTTGGAAATGTAGGTGTATAGCACCATATCTGGGTCCTACTTGTGATTTATTTTGTCATTGCCTCTAGCTCTGTGACCCTCCTACCCCAGCCACCAGAGTGCTGGCATTACAAGCATGTGCTGTCACACCCAGTTCCTCTTTATTATTTCTTAAACTTGCATGTGAATGTACTATTAGCTTGGAATTTTAAAACAGTAATTTAGGGGCTGGCAGTGCTCGCCTAGCAGGAGCCCTGGATTGAATCCTGGGGGGTGGGGGTGTGCTAATTAAAGGGGAGAAAGAAAAAAACAAAACACAAAAGCAGGCTCCCATTGCTCCCATAGTACACAGGGCTTAAAAGATCTTTGCAAAATAGCAAAGTAGACTTCAACATGGCACAACGAGATGGCTCTGGGAAATGGCCTTCCTGGAAGAGCGAACTAGTGGAGTCTGGCTTTTTGTAGACCAGAGGCTGCCGCCCTTCTGGGACACGTGTCTGGGTAGCGAGCTTGGGTGCTTTTTGAGGAGAAACTCAGTGAGGACACAGGAAGCTTGGGAGGAAGCACCATCCTCAGGTAGTGGAAGAAAAAGAGGCGCTTACACTCCTCCCACATTGAGAAGGTAACCCCTCCACCAGGGAGACCCGGGTCCACCGTCTTCCTAGCTGGTCTTCCCTACAGATGCCGCTACCATCAGCAGCGGATGCACAGACAGAACAGGACAGACCGGGACCGGAACCCACAGCTGCCTGGAGTTCCCAGCTCCTACAGGCCACCAGCTTCCCATGGTCCCAGTGCTTCCTCCGTCTCCAAGGCCAGCAGCGATGCCTGCATCTGTCTCATGATGCACTCTTCAGACACCTCTGTGCTGTGGTCAAATGTCCTCCTCCTCCTGTTTACAAGGACCATCGCCCAGGCACTCCAGGAGGTCTCCCTCCAAAAATCTTTAATGGCACTTGCAAAGTCCTTCTATCACGTAAGGGGATGTACCTATGCATGTACCTACATATTTGATGCTGGGGATTCAATAAGCACATCTTCAGCCTCCCATAAACGCCTGCCTCATTGAATGGGACACCCTAAGTTAAAAGCTTAGCTGCTAAGGATTTAGCTCAGATGTGTAAGTGCCTGCCTGGCAATCCTAAGGTCATGAGTTACACCCCCGGTACCAAAAAGAAAGAAAGGAAAGGAAAGAAAGAAAGGAAGGAAGAAAGAAAGAAAGAAAGAAAGAAAGAAAGAAAGAGAGAGAGAGAAAGAAAGTTTAGCACAGTGACTGATGGGAGGCCAAAATGACACACACCTTCAATTTTAGCACTTAGTCGGCTGAGGCAGAAAGATTACTTTGAGTCTGAGGCCAGTGTGGGCTACATAGTGAACTGAAAGGCATCCTGGAACACATAGGAAGACCCTGTCCCACAAAGAAGGAAGGAGGGTGGGGGGAGAGAGACGGAGGGGACCATAAGAATTATCTTGATAATTTTTTTTTATCGGCACTGGGGATCAAACTCACGACCACCTGTTTGCTATCTCGATAATTTTAAAATATATATCATGCCTGGAGTTACCTAAGGTTCTGAGGAAGAAGGTCCCGTGCACGGGAAATTTCGTAAGTCCCTGGTGACTGCCAGGCAGCAGGGCGGGACGACCGTGAGAGCATGAATTCCTGTGAGCAGTTACTGCTCCCCCAGCTCCCTAGCACCAAACCTCAGTGCTAGGGCTTGTTCAATGCGTGCCTGTGGAACTGGACAGAACTGAACGGCTCCTGGGGCCCACGGGGCGGGGGGTGGGATGGGAGGAGGAAAGGGACGGGGTTTCTCACTGCTGCACCACAGCCCAAGAATGAGGTTCTGTGGGCAGTCAGGTCAAGGCATCCGAGTCAACCTCACACCCAGAAACGGCTGCCTGGGAGGCTGGAGTCCTTTCCAGTCCCCAGAGTCCAGTGGAGGGGGCCAGGCCGGGCAGAGCTCCCTCATCAACGGGCCATTGTTACTGGAACAGAGGGGCTCTGTGCCCACTTCACACTCTCCTCCCTGCAGAGCTGCTCCCAGCTGGGCCGGCTGCAGGGCTGTGCGTCCAAGGAGGGGCCAGGGGCCCAAGGCCCTGGAGGATCGCAGTGGGGGCTGGTCCCCGGCTGAGGAGCCAGGCAGTGTGTAAAGCCCTTCTCTGAGGCTGGGTTCCAGCCAGAGCCGGGAAGCCAGGGACACCCAGCGACCCCACCAGACCCCACCCCAGCAGGCCATCGGAAATGGAGTTCCCCATGGGGCGGTCATGTGTGACCCACCTTCTCCCCCTAAGAAACAAAAGGGTGAAATCCGCAGGGTCAGGGCAGCTTTCACTGCTCTGAGAAGGCTGGGAGAGTTTCATGTTCCAGGATTTGGGAGGGAAGCTTCCCAGCCAGAGCTGGGCATCAATCTCTTTCTGGTTCGCAGGTCTTCTCTACATTAAGCACTCGACATGAGCAGTATGAGCTGGATTTTAGGAACGTGGTGTCAAAGATCTCACAGAGGACAGGTGCCTGGCATCCTGGAAACACTGAGTGCCACCCTCCTCATAGATTCTCATCTGCTCAAGGTAAGCAACGCCTACCCTGAGCCCACCAGAGCCCTTGCAAAGGACAGACAGCCCGAAGAAGGTGGCAGGACAGCCTACCCCAAAGTGGGGTCCCAACGGCACCAGTGACACCTGGCGACTTGGTGGAAATGCAAATCCTGGGTCTGCCCCGTCAGTATAGGGGTGCAGAGGGGGAGCAGTTTCCAAGGCTCTGCAGGTGGGTCTGCCGCCCACCAGCCAGGGTGGACCACTGTGCTGGAGAGAGATTTTCCAGCCTGAAGCTACACTACCACTTCAGTAGGGCAGGTAATCTTTTTCTCTTCCTCCTCCTTCTTCCTCTTCTTCTTTCTCTTTCTTTCTTTTTTTTTTTTTTTTTTTTTTTTTTGTACCAGGGAATTGAACTTATGACCTCGAAGTTGCCAGGCAGGCACTTATGCCTCTGAGCTAAATCCCCAGCCCCACCTTCTTCTTTTTTTTTTTTTCTTCTTCTTTTTTAAGATAAAATAGTATTGTGCAAAATAGAAAATACTGGTGCCTCATGTGTAATAAGGATAAATATGGGTTTCACGCAGCTTTTGTTCTGTGTCAGAGGTTTTGGACCAGAAGTTTGAAAACCACTCTTTTAGAGCTGAATGTGCTCATTGAGCCTGGTTCCCCTTTGGTCACTGGACTGAATGAGGTTTTAAAGATCACAGTGCGACAGTGCCCCACCCCCTCACAGTGCAGCCAGGCAGTGGGGGACAGATGAGAAGGACAGCTTTCGCGACAGATGGCTTCTTCTTTACAGCCTGAGCCTAACGTTAAACCAAACAGTGCATTTTCCCCATGTGCCTAAAACTTCCTGTACACACACACACGCACACACACACACACACGACACACGGAAGGGGTCTACAGTTAAGGAGACCACACAGCCAGCGGCTGACATCTGGGGGGCTGGGGTGATGCACAGCATTCCTCCCCTTATTCATTGTATTAAATTCTGCATACTCAACCTCTATCATTATTAAAACAACAAAGTCACTGCTTCAGAAAAGTTCAACTCCCCCCAACGTCTGTCACTCTCACTTCCTTAGAAAGTCCTTTTGTGCCTTTATGCCAGCTTGGTGGGGCGGTGTGGTCCTTCCCACCACCCTCTCCTGCATTATCCCCACGAGAAATGGAGGGCGGTTCAGTGGAGCTAAGTGTCCTGCCCAAGGTCACGCTCCTGGTAATGAGAGGCTGATGGTGACAGACAGGGTTCCCCCACCCCCGGCCCAGCACGATCCTCCCCTGCCACCATCCATGTCTACCTGGCACCACTGTGATCACGTGACTCTCACCTCGTGAGAGCTGCGTGCCCCTGTGATTGCCATGCAGCACTCAATACATACAAAAGAGGAAAGGAAGAACTCGAGGAAGTAGAAAGGAAAAGAATGGAGAGACTACAGACACCTGATGGAAAAATACGGTGTATTCAAATTTTAAAACTTACTACAGCCAAAGACACGTTGCTATTAACCCCAAACACCAGCACACCCCCGCCCCAAACACACTTACCCCACTGTCCTGGCCACTTTCTGAAGCCCTTCTGCAAGTGCTCTTTTGTGAGTGTCTTTAGCTGTTCTGTTGTGGCTGCCTTGGTGTCCTTGATCAATTCAAATAATTCACCATTCAGGGTCATTTTAATTTGAGGGAAAAGTCAGAAGTCCCACGGTCCCAGTTCTCAGGAACAGGTGGACAGGCCACGCCATCTCGTTTTATGAGCCTGCCTCACTGGACAGCCCTTGGCAGCAGCATTCACCGTATTTTTGAACACATCTTGTAAAGATTCTCAGGACAGAAGACTTTCAGAACTGCTTTGAAGGCGGAAAGCACAGTGGAACGTGTGCTTGAAGCCAGTGGGAGTATTCTAGGGGGATTAGTGACCATGTCTTCTATGATGTTAATTTTAAAAATTTAAGAATTCATCCTATTTTTCCATCACGCCTTGTATGCCTTCAGGCCTGAGGAGCTTCCCTGACACAGCCCTTACAGGAGCAGCCTGGGCAGGGGTACAGCCATCACCCCACTGTGCCAAACGGGCTGCTGGAGGCCATGTCTGAAGGCTCCCTAGCGATGTGGTGGGACAGCTGTCCTCTGGTGTGACAGGACCTTCTGCACTTGCCACAGGCTGCTCCCCTCTGGAGCCTCCTGCACAGCACCTGGACCTACCCTGGCTGTGGGTGACCTGGAACCGCCCCACGGGACCCTCTGGTTAGATGACCTGGGGAAGGACAGGTCGCCAGTCCTGAGCAGGGGCCCCTTCCTGGGGAGCCTGATAGCACTGGGTTAGGAGCCTGAAATGTGTGGAGGTTCCCAGCCCGGCTGAGTCTCCTCCTGCCATGTGACTTGGCTGAGCTCCTCCCTCACCAATGGTGACACAATGCTATCTCAGAGGTCACCAAAAAGCTGAAACGGGACATTCCCTATAAACTGGGTGCCTGGCCCAGAGCAAAGTAATTGAGGCAAGAGCAGGATCATCACTATCTATAGACTCCTCCTGGAGTGGCTCGCAGCCAGTGCGTAGGGGGCTGTTTTTAAAAGTCTGGCTTCAAGGACTTTGAATGAGCAGTCTGGCCAAGCCCCAGGGGTGGCCTCTGCCTTGCAAGGCAAGAGGGTGCAGGGATGTGGCTCAGTGGTAGACTTCTGCCTTGCATGCACCAGGTCCCAGCACCACACACAAAAAAGCCCCCAAAACAATATTTGCCAGGCACAGTGGCACACACCTATAATCTCAGCAGGAGAGTCACTATGAGTTTGAGGCCAGCCTGGGGTACAAAATGAGTTTGAGGCCAGCCTGAACTACACAGCAAGACCTGGCAAAAAATAAAAAAGGGGCCAGAGGACATAGCTCAGTGGCATACGCGCTGCCTCACAAGCATGAGGTTGTGAGTTTGATCTCTGATACCAAGAAGGGGCAGGTGGCTGTTCTTAGAAGCTGCAGACAGGCTGGAGCTGGCCCCAAAAGGGGTGGGAGCAGGGATGGACAGAAGGATGAGGGATGTGGGGCCTCCCCTGCCTATGTGGGAGAAGCCAAAGGTGACTTTGGGGGCTGGGTTGGACCAGAAGCAATTACATAACAGTCCTTGGGCAGCGCTGGACTCTGCAAGAGGCCTGGATGCTATTTCCAGGCCAGATTCTCTTTTTGAAACAGGATCTCATGATATAGCCCAGGCTGACCTTGAACTTGTGTGGATCTTCCTGCCTCAGCTTTCTGAGTGCTGGGATTATAAACGTGCGCCACTACACCCAGCTCAGGCCAGATTCTTTCCCAGACTGTGCCTTAGAATGGAACAGGGAGTCCAACCCCCTGAGTAAGGTTTGAACTTTAAAACTCAACCGGAGCTGGGCCTGGTGGTACACACTCATGCTCCCAGCCCTTAGGAAGCTGAGGCAGGGAGATTGTTAGTTTGAGCCCTGCTTGGGCAACAAAACGACTTAGCTCAGTGGTACAGCACTCGCCGAACATGCACAAGGCCCTGGGTTGGATCTCCAGCAACCTCTCCACCAAGCTAATTAACTAAAGTAAAATAAGAAATAAAACTGGACAATTTAAGAGCTGCTTACACACATGAAACTGGTATTACTGGTTGCCTCTGGGTATCTGAACCAGG